ATAATATTTACCTACCAGGTCAGAATTCAATTTCTTAGGATTTATGGATATATTATAATTAATTTCTATAAATAAATCTACAATTTATAAATACAGCTTAAAATTAGCCAAATATTTTGAAAATTATATAATTAATAGCAAAATGTCTATTTGATGCATATTTCTAGTTACCATGCAAAACTATTGTCTATTTTTGTATAGTAAATAAATCGTAAAACTTATATAGAATTATATTGCATTTTCAAACTTTATAGGTATAGATATTAAACATTTATGATTTTTAAATATTTTGAATATATTAGTTAAAAATATTTTACTTTTTTACTTATAAAATTAATAATTATGCTTTTTGTTAAACCTTTACAAATAACATACAATAAGTCTTGTAATTTCAAAATGGATATTGTGAAATTAATTTCTATAGGTACCTACTAATCAATGATTATAGACTATAGTACAAACAAGATTAGGTATCTATAACAATTTCCAATTTGATGGTTAATCATTTTTAATTTTACTTTGTTAATACCCTCTAAATTGTAATAAATAATAATCAAATGCATTATTAGAATATAATAAATTATATGCTATGATATTATTACCCCTGGGCCATGACGCTCAATTTTACCCGGGGGGGGGGGGGGGATTTGAGGGTATTAGAAACCTGTGACCCACCCCCCCCCTCAAGTCACCATCTATTTACATCAATGGCTATAAGCATATTATTTTTCTATTATTCACTATAGAATTATTTAATTGGTTATTATTTTTACTTTAATTTTATGAAGATCCAGTATGGCTTGTTTTCGTCCATGGGAAGATAACAAACAAACAAATATAAATGAAAATGAAAATGAAGTAAACAACTTAGATTTGTTTGATTGTGATATTATGTATAGTGATATGGTACAGAAGAATTTAGAAAACTGCAGTTCTACGAAAGATGATAATAATTGTGTAGACATGGAAATAGATACAAAATATGCAATTATAAATGGAAATAATGAAGAAGATAGTGATAATTTATTTCATTTTAAAGAAACGAGTAAGTATTATTAATTTAGGATTTTTTTTAATTTTTAGTAGGTTAGTACTTTTTTCATCGTGCAGTATACAAATGTATGAACGTATTTTAGCTGTTTTTTTTTTATAAAATGTTATATTAAATTACATGGATATACAACGATTATACCTACATAATTAATGAACAATACACAAATTGAAATAAATTTGCGTGTGTGTGGGTATCTGTCGTTTTGAAGGAATAAAAACGGTTTAATGTTCGACTTGAAGTGCGGTATCTAGTAGTAAATAGGATGGATCTAGTAAATTAATAGTTTGGGACGAAGAGAATGTAAAAAGTAGAAAATTTCATCAATTTTCAAAATATTCAGGAAAGTGTAAAAATAAATGGAAACACTGGAATATAATAAATTCAATTCCGGTTTACGACTAAATCAATTTTGTTTTCTTGCTTTAATTCAGAAAATATTAATTGTATAGACTGATATTTTCAGCAAAAACTTATGTACACTTTTTAAAGATTCCACGTCACCTATAAGTAGTTAATTATTTAGGTAAAACAATATACAACATTTTAATACATTTTTTTATTAGAATGTGATGATAACATTGATGTTACAAGAAATAATGATATTGATATGGAACGAAAGTATAAGCATGCCGAGTTAAGAGATGTCATGCAATTTCTAATAAATAATAATTATCCACCGTACATACAGAAACGCAATGATAAATCTAATTTTCGGAAACAGTGCAAACCTTATGATATTGTAAAAGGCATATTAGTTTATAAGAAAACTAATGCACGTGTTATATTAGATAAAAGTGAAAAAATTAAAATAATGAAGATGATACATAGTGGGTACAATGAAAGTGAAGAATCATCTGCATTATCTTTATGCATTATGCATTATGCATTATCTTAATAGGTGGACTTTTGCATATAAAATACTCTCTGTACAAAAATATGTAGGTACATACATTTATCATTTATCTACCTATATTCAGTATTATTATGTATATATTACCAGTATTATTACCTATATTATGTATTGCATATATTGGGCACGGACAAATCTGAAATCGGGGACATTTTCGTGAATAAAGGTATACTGTTTCAAGTGAGCAGTGCACAGGATTACCTTTGGGATTACCAGTCAGCATTTGTATTATTTTAAAATTTTAGTTTAAAAGTAATTATAAAATATTATCATAGAAAAGAGACTACAATTATGTGGGTAGTAAAATTACCCCAGCTACGGTAAAATTTGTTAGGCAAGTAAAAATTAATTGTTACGCTAGGCAATTTTTACCCCAGGTGATTTTTACCCACCACGGTAAAATTTGTTGGTGGGTAAAAATCGCCCGTTAGGTTAGGCGATGTTTACCTCAGGCGATTTTGACCTCCTACAGTAAAATATACAGGTGGGTAAAAATCGCCTGTTACGATAAGCGATTTTTACCTCAGGTGATTTTTACCCACCACGGTAAAATTTGTTGGTGGGTAAAAATCGCCTGTTAGGTTAGGCGATGTTTACCTCAGGCGATTTTTACCTCCTACAGTAAAATCTGTAGGTGGGTAAAAATCGCCTGTTACGATAGGCGATTTTTACCTCAGACTATTTTTACCCCCCTGTAAATTTTACCGGGGGGTAAAAATCGCCTGTTACGGTAGGCGATTTTTACCTCAGGCGATTTTTACCCCCCCGGTAAAATATACAGGGGGGTAAAAATCGCCTGTTACACCGGCAGTGTGTATAGTGTATATATTGAAGGACCTATAGTCACTGCAAAGGAGAAAATAATATTTTTTCACCTATCGGTGTATAAATAAAATATACCTATGTGTATAATGTAAATATTAATATTAGGTCATATTGCATAAGTCCAATTGTTCACAAACCTTTACTTAAAAAATATGATGAACACAGTCTCAAACGATGTGTATTTCTTCAAATTGTTTTATCATTGAATTCATTCAGTGCGACTGCACTTCAGTAATTGTTAAAAAAAAATACAACTTTACTGTGGCCCAAATGTAATCAAACAAACGAAATACGGGTGATACTAACATGTGCAACGACCGTATACATATGGTAGGTGTACTGCGTTAACAGCAACAAGCCTTTGGTTAATGTATACACTTCCGTTTGAATAATTTTTCACTTGTCACAATATGCTTCTGTATTTAATTATTCTAATGAATTGTCGAATGAATTGTAATAATAATTCTGTAGTACGATTATAACATATTGGACATAATATTATTATAATAACGGTTTATTTTTTTTGTTTTTTACCTACCATACCCTATTCATACCTGATATTAGTGATATTATATAGTTAGGTATAATAGGAACCATCAACAAAAATATTGAATGTTAAAGCTTACAAATATGCTAAAAGTTAGATAAATATGACGTTATTTAAATCACAATCAAAAGCAAAACTGTATGAATCGGCATCTTAAAATATTAGGTAGTTTCTTCACGATCAAGTTCTTTATACTTACGGATTTCATGATGTTATATTTTGTAATAGTAAAATCGAATTATAATATTATTACATGACAGATAATTTAGAAATTTAACAGTATAGCTTTGAAGTATACGAGTGTATGATTTTGTTATGATAGTTATATCATGAATCGGAAAACATAAATACGGATTGATTCATATACAAATATAAACATAAAACTTATAGATTTTAAATATGTAAGCACACACAAAATGAACGTATTCTCAGTATATATAAAAAGTTATGATAAATGGCTAAAGCCTAAAGGATGGAAGGAGCCGGTTTCGATCCTATTATCATTTTAAGTATTATTCGACAATAGTGACACATTATATTACTACTATCGTTGCATAATGTAAGTGAAAACCACTTAGGAGCCCATTTCTTTCAAATTATATTATATATCACTCCAATTTCACTGGTAAATATTTGAAGAGACGGTGATATTTTTTCGTTTTCCAAACCATAAATCATTATGTATTTAGGTCTTTAAGATATTATATTAAATAAGTGGCAACGAGTGCGTAAATTTATTTTTTGTTTATGTTATATAATAAAACATTCCGGAATATCCATAGTCAATAATTTAATATAGAAACTTACTAATTAAATTTGGGTTATTTAAAACGCTAATAATTAGTTTGTAAAAGGTTCACAAAAGGCTCTTTGATGATGATCCATATATTATTATTCAAAAACTCATTGAAATTTCTTTAGTTCCAAGCTGAAAAAAAAGGTCTATTGTTCGAAAGTCAATTGCAGAAAATATCGATAATGTGTGGTTATAATTATTGCCAGAAAAAGATCTTATTGAGTAAGTATTTTATTCGGACGCTCTTAGTATAAAGCGGAAACCCTTCAGTCAAGATATTTATTATTCTAAAAACATTAAATTAGCATTTAGTATTTCGTTGTACATTTGTTTAATTAATTATGAATAAAATTGATGAGATATTTTAACAGTAGTCGTAGATATGGTCGATATGGATATCTCATTAATAATAATATAAGTATGTAACTAATTATTTCTAAATCACATCACTGAGTGTAACAACAAAATGTGTATCTAAGCATTAAGCATGCAAATTATTATTATTATATGTGTACAACCACGTAATCTGACAATCAGTGTTTTAGATAGTGGAAGACGAATAAATTATTTATTTACCGTGTGAATTTTGATATTAATGTTATATTTTACTGTGATTACTTTTGAACAGTTAAAATTATTTTGCAGTTATACATTTTGGGAAAATCTGAATAATCAACTATATTATTAGCTGTAATCAAATGATATTATGCAACATTGATATTTCACAGATATTATACTTTGATATACTTACACTATCATATCCTGAAACCCTCAACTTGAAAAAAATATTAATCATATAAAACAAACATAGAAGATAAGATATCACAGTCAGCTGTCTTTTTCTAATACGAAATGTTTGTTTTCGCAGTCCAATAAATGGGGCAGCTCAAGAAAGGTGCACGAAAGATCCACTGGACCGGACTGGTTCGAGACGAAAATGGCAAACGCTAAGCTAGAGAAAAAAAGATCATCGAAGTGTTTTTGGAGCTCGTCATTCGTAGTGGACCCAACCACGCACTTTCATTATAAGGTGAGTGATATTATTCAATTTATTTAAACCAACCCACACGTCTTCTATAACTACGACGGTCGATAATTTAGGTGTACTGATCTAATAATGGCTATTAACACAAGACGTCGAATCGATTCGTATGAATACATTCACATCGTCTATTATGACTATTTTGGAATAATACTATTGGCAAGTTGTATCCTGCATTTCGTTATTATTTTTCAAGAAATATGTAGAAATTTGCTCCTATGATTTGCTTATACGCTCAGTTTGAAATGTCTTATAATTCAGTAATATAATATTATGTTTTGGGGGATGGAGTGGCCGAGCGGATTAAGGCGTTGGTTGCGACGCACACCGGCGCTGGTTCGATGCCGGCCGCGGGCGGCATTTTTCTTCTGGCAAGTCACGGTGTCCGGAAAGAAGTGCCGCCATCCCCCCCCCTCTGGGCATGGCAGATACCTAGTTGTGCCAACTTAAAAATTTGCCAAAACCAAAGCACACGTATTTAAACTTACAATACCCTCTCCCACAGTAAAAAACACACAATGGCCTAAGTTTCCGCCGGTTAATTAATTTAAAAAAAAAAAATAAATATTATGTTTATTGTTTCTTTATTAAATGATTTAACATTATTACATTAGTTAGCTTATTCTATGTTTCTACTTAATATAATATTCTTAAGTGTCACACTATTTTTTATTGGTTGACATCACCTCACAATAAATTATGTTACGCTCATAGTCCAAAGACTTCAAACTTATCATTTATCCACACATGACATTTTTTATACCCCACTTTTTTACATCATAATAACAATTTAAAAACCATAATATTTCTTTTTTTACATTATACATAACGTAAAAATTACAATGAAAAGTATACGTAATAATACCTACATCAATGAAAAAAATATATATATTTATTCCAACGGTAAAAATAATAATAATAATACAGTACTAAACATTTTTTTTTCTTAAACTTTAATTTTAACCTTATCTAATATGAACTTTGTGATTTTCTCACCACTAGCTCCTCTTTTTTTCTTATTGTTTTTCTTTAATTTCTTGTTCTTTTTTCTCTAATCTTTGAAATGTTTTTATCTTTAAGATAACTACTATTTTATCCATTTTTACTAAATCTGACCTTAATATTAATACTTTAACTATGTACTTGTTACTATGTATGGTTTCTTTACGGTTTAGCTTCAACTTCTTTTCACTGAATTGTATATGCTTTATTCTTAAATGTAGGTAATGAATGATAAATGTCTCATATAGAATAGTATTTACATCAAATAGTAGCTGAAGTTGAATATTGGACAATAATGAAAATAAAGAAAACGGGGAAGTCAGTCCAGTAGGTAGGTGTCGAGTAAACCTCATAACTTAGAAGATCCACTGTAATAGATTTGTTAAATTTTAATTCAATGATGTATATAAAAAATGGTTCTTAGTGGAAACCCTCTGTTATTTTATTATGTATTATTTATATATTATATCGCTGTATAGGTACCTATAGTATAATACGGTAAGCTAAATAAATTTTTGCCAAAAACAAAATGTATAATAATAACTACAATATTGTTATTTCATATGCTACCTAGCTACAATTGAAGGCGTCAGTGCAATAACCAGGAAATTAATACAACTAAAAAACGTTATTTTTCGTTTCAAATTTTATTAACAAATTGACTTTGAACGGGGGACGGTGTGGCCGAGCGGACTAAGGCGTCGGCTGTGAAGCAGCCGACCAGGGTTTGATTCCGGCCACTGACGGCATTTTTCTTCGGGCAAGTCACGGTGTCTGGAGAACAAGTGCCGCCATCCCCCACCCGGGACATGGCAGAAACCTACGGGTGCCCATTAGAAATTCTGCCAAAACACAACACACACATGTGTACCAACCTACCCAATATAAAACTCACAGTTCCATCCCCACACCCAATGGCCTATGTTGCCGAGGGTTATCCAATAAAAAAAAAACTTAGAACATACTCAAAAAAAAAAAAAAAAATTGCTTTGAAGTGCCTCTTTTCGATATTTTTAAATCACTATATTATAATCCTACAACTTACGAAGACCCTCGTATTAATTAAATACATTTCAAACTTATTTACAAAGGATAACAATTATTGTTACTAACATTGTCATAGAAAATAGATCATTTGTGTCAATAAAAATAATGAAGACCCATACTTCGAAAATATGTATGGGAGTGATAACGACCGCAGTACGTATGTGACCGCAGTGTATGGGATGGCTGCAGTTGAGCTTAGTATATTATACTAATATAAAAGTAAAATAGTTTGATGCACTATTGAGAAGTCAATGTCACACAATAACAATGTATGTGATAGAATAGTCACTAAATAATAATAAATAACACTAAATATCGAAGAAACTAGGAAAGACGAAAACAATTAATTTATGGAAGATTTTAAATCTAACAGTAAGGAACGAGCTTATATTATATTCCTTAAAAATGCACAATTTATAAACGAAACAAAAAGATTTCCACTCATTAAATTGTATTATTATTATTAAGCTTTCTAAACTAGTTATTATAAGGCAAACATTACAATAAGTAGGTAGCAATAGTACTATAATATCATATGATTTACGTAATTTACAGTACTTATAAAGACAAAATAACACACCAACATGGTATATATTAATCAGGGGGAGTTCGTTCTGCTATATAGTAGATAGTGCAGTATTTATATGTGTTGAATTTAACCTATATATGAAAAACAAATCCGAGCGGAGGGTGTGGATCAGTCTCTATTTTAAAAGACATCTATAAATTAGGTACTACTAGTAATTTATATTTATGAAAGTAACACTGCCAATTGAACTATACTGTTTCCAATAAAATCGCGTATATTATATTACTGTTATCACGTAACAAACAATTGTGTAATTCATGGTATTCACTATTAGCTCTATATTAGTTTAAATATGTTAAACATTTTATTGCCTATCATAAAAAATAACAAACGTAACTAAGTGCAAATTTCTACGGATAACATTTTGGAATTTCATAAAAAAACTAAAATCGTAATTTTTTTTTTGAATACCCATTTATGTAAAAATGTTAAGTTCAAAAGCTTATATATATTTACTTTTTTTATATTTTTAAATTAATATATACAAATTAAGTCCCTAAGGTTATTCCTTTTTGAATTACAACAACAACATAAAATCGATCTTGTAAAAAGCTGGTCGTGCTTAAATATTCCTGTTATTACGCTGGTTTTGTTAGTTTTTTCGAATTATTAAAAAATTTCTGAGAATTTCCCTGTATTAAACCCTGAAAGTACTAACGTTATTATACATATTCTACCCGAAATTAAGGTCAAAGTTGAAGATTGACTCAATTTTTTGCTCTACAAAACGTTGTCAACACAACAAAACACATAGTTGTAAAACATTATAACAAATACATGCGTTCCTCAAATCTATCAAAAATAAAAATTTCAAGAAAAACATGGAATTATGTATTTTTGATAAAATATATGGTATCGATTTTTTTTGTTTTATAACAAAACACCGATATTCCCAAATGTTATACTTATTCAGTTAATATAGGTAGTTGCATAATACTATAATAGTCTGATTCATTTTTCATTGCGATTTTTCGTACTTACCCCTTAAGATAATAATCAAGTATCAACCACAATTTATTTTGTGAGATTAAAATACCGTAATAAAATAAGTAATAACTACAATGGTTTAAAAAAAAAAAGTATTAAATAATGAAGTTTGTCAAGTGTTGAAAAGTCTACTTATTTTTAAACGTCATTTAAATAGCAGTCAATTTGATTTTTTTTTAATACGAAAATAAAAATAATTGTGTTTTGATGCACTTATATATTATTAGACTACATCGTAATCTTAAATCTATTAATATTTTTATATATTTTTTTTTTTTTTATTGATCTAAAACAAGACGTCGGCGACAACCGCCATTAGTTATCGCTGTTATAATAACTACAATATTAATAATATTATAATAATATAATATATAATAATATATTATATATTATAATATATTTTGTTCTTATCAAAAATATGTTAAAACTGTTTTATAATAACTACCCTTGTTTATTTGATATCAGTAAAAACATAAGTATTCGTCTCTGTCTGCATATTTTATATATCAAGTTAGAGCTGATACACTATACCTAATGTATTAGCACAACAGTGGTGTTATAAGGTACTTGCATCGAATTGTATAGAAGTTCGATCGCTAAGCATTTATGATTTATATCTATTACTTATAACTCGGTAGTTGGTATAAAAACAAATGTTATGATTAATATATTCTCTTATTACATACTAGTATGCATGTAATATACTATATACATAATGACTAAAAACAGGTATCGGCTTGAATATTAAATAGGTACTTCAAATTAAAATCAACTTGACCATTACATCAAATACTTGCGGATCTAGAAAATAATTAAAAATGCTTTGAAAGTATAGTCTGTGTGACGTTACTTGTCACGTCGTTTTTCTCTATCGACACGGTATTAGCTGGCAAGTACACATAGTAATACCTACGAACTATATTATACTATAAGCGGACCGTTATGGGCTTTGATGAAATATTATAAAATATAAATTATGAATTACAATAATCTGCAGTGGCCGATGGTATGTTTTAGAAATCGTGATACAGAGTATTGTATAAAATATAAGCTATAAACTTAATTAATGCATTATGTTAGACAAATACACTGGGCAATAAACAATTATTGCGTTGACTAGGAAAGTATGTGTGAAAAGAAAAAATATTGGAGGAACTGTTTTGTATATTGTATTATTTTATACAATTTCCAAAAACAACTTATGACCTGTGGACATTCAGATAAATGTATTATTATTTGTATATTATTCTGAGAAGCTAATAAGCCATCTGATAAATATATAAGCAAACGCATTTATATATATTTATATTTATATATAATACAAATTAATGTACTAACATGGCAACATATAATATAAATGGACTACAAACTCATATCATATACGTCAAAA